GAACACAGGCTAACTATGTGGCAGACAAGGTTCATGCATTAATCACTGCGCCAGAAACTCCCCTTCAATGAGACATTTTTGCCATGGCGTATTGGATACCTCAATAGCTAGGAGGGTCCTGGGGCAATGCTCCCTTAGAAAATTTTGAATTTTAAAACTAAGAAGCTTTTAAAAGCTGGATTTATTTTTGCCTTAAATATCTGTATGGGTGCTTAATGTATAATTAATTAGTTGCTGGGGCACCTGTGCCAGCAACTATAGGTTTCGGGTGAATTTGGTCTCCTTCTCCTTCTCCATGGATAGTCGCAAAATGGAAATTCCCACTGATCTATATACGAAGCAATACGTGCATACATTTTCGCTATTTTAACGGTCTTAAAGTCTTCGTAAGTGTATAAAGTGAACGTCAAATTGTTCTTTCAATCACGCTTTTTCTTCTGGGGGCTTTTTGAAAGAAATCCATCAAGAATATACAGAATTATGTCGACGTTTCACTATCGAGGAGTGGAGTAGATTCCGAGGTGGATTAACTGACAATAACTGTGTTATTTATTCGTCGAACCGTTATTTCTGAACGTTTATATTTTTGTTTTGTGAAGTTTTACATCTATATACGCTTTAATATGGCTTATAGTCCTGGTTGCTCCAATAGTCTGCATAAAAATCGTATTTGTTTACATGTATTGGAACTGTCATATTTGCATGCTACTGATGCTAGCTCTATTTTCAAGAAGGCTCAAATGTTGGCTGTTTTGAAGTGACACACGAGGTACGTGACACACAATCTTGGATTGGTATTTCTTAGATAGATGTTTTTAATTGATAAACCTTGCAGCCATTGGCTGTATTATGTTAACATTACATAAGGTCCAATTATTATTCTGGTTATAGGATCTAACCATTTGATGATATTTATGTGGCTCTAACATGTAATAGCTTCAATATTTTGGAGTGTATTATTTGATGTTAAGCCCTTTAGTTAAAAATCACCAATTGAAGAATTGCTAGAACCAAAAGTGAATACTGGAACTATCCATATTTACCATGTTGCACCCTCAATGCCTGGTTACCCCACGTCTTGTCATTCCTCCCCCCTCTTTGAGGGCCCTCTTTGTTAGCGATTCAGTTCTACACCACTGACTGCTAATATAAAGTTATGTAAAATTTTAATGCCAATAGCTCAGGGAGTGCAGTGCTGTGGGAAGCTCTTTTTGATTGGGGAACTGAAAGCAATGGCCAAAGGCCCAAGGAAAATTTTAAATTTAGAGTCTCTGAAATGCCATTTCCTGAACTTTGGGAAAGATTTGACAGAATTCCGATGGTCAGAAAACAGCATTTTAGTATGTCGAAATTTACAATTTCAAACAGCCCCCCCCCCTGGTTGCTACGGCCCTGAGGTGAAATATAACCACTGTCTATCGCATGCATCAGTTAGGTGCAAAAAGCTAAATTCCGCACCAATAATCCAATATATGCGATTGTCCATATCATATAACCCTTTAAGTGGCAATGTACCCTCATGTAACCTACTTTATTATTTTACTGTGTCTAATGCCAAGGATTTTACTCATCAGGGAGAGAGTGCTGTCAATCAATGGGTTAATTCACAAACGACTCCTTAGTCCTTAACTGTCTGATAAACAATTTTTGTGTCTTAAAATTTGTTATAAACAAGTTAAAATAAAAATACACAAATCTGTATTTATCCTCAAATATGAATAAGGGGCTATTATAGCCCAAGGTCCCAAGTATGTACACTTGTGCCACAGTGCCAGCATAAAATGGGCTATTTCAGCTTTCAATTCTGCTGGAATGAGGTGATAAATTTTTAGCTTTGGAATTCCTCAGGGATAAGCAAATTTCTGTGTGGAATTCTTTGGGGGTAATCCGGTAATGGATATATTGAATGAGATTTTCTCAGGGGTCAAATGTAAAAATTGAGATTCTTCCAGGGTCTCTCTTCATGGGTATTAACAGGAATTCTTCAGTGGATCTCTTTTATGACCTGTAGGAATTCTTCAGTTCAGCGATATGATGAACTCTTGTGCAACGGACCTGATTGTGAGATTCCACTTCATTGAAAGGACGACCTTAGGGACGGACCATTAGAAAACCGATGGGGGGGGGACCCAAAAAAATTTATTCCCAGGAAAAAATTAGGGGGGAAAATCTTCCCAGGCATAGTGCAAAAAAAATTCCTTTCTTGGAAGATAGGCCTATAAATTTTAATAAAAAAATATATTTCCAGCCATCAAGTGAGAAAAAAAATTTCTATAGGTGTACAAAAAAAAATATTGCCTCTTAGAAAATCCCCCCCCCCATCACTTTTCTAATGGTCCGTCCCTTAGTTAATTAAATTTGCTGTATACATTATGTCGCAACGTGTCACTATTTAATAAACTTATGTACAATTACAAATCAAGCCCACAAATCGTTGGATATACTCTTACCGCTCGTTGCAAATCACGCAGGCGCCTATTTAAAAAGCCCCAGCAACTTAACGCTCGAGAGAGCGTCTTGTTTTCATATAAAGCTCAAAAACTGGATTTTAGAACTGCCCATTTTAAGTTTTAGAACTACCCATTTTACATTTAGAACTACCCATGTTGGAAAATGGGAGGCCTTAGGATGACCCCTGTGTTTATGTAGATACCACAACTTGGTCACTCAGGGAACCAGCTTGATAAACTTAGAGGGCCAGACTCCCACGAAGCGCCACCATGGTTGGCACAGAGCGGGAAAATTTTGCGTCTCTAAAGCGTCGGAAATGGCATTTTCAAAATCTGCTCTACCTCTTTTGTTACGCCCTTTCATTACTTCGTTCATTATGATTTGCGAGTCTATAGTATCCGCAAGTCAGGATGGGTTATTACGAGAAATGTTGTTATCAAAATATCGTTTACAGATATTTGATTATATATATACGACTTCAAATACTTCTAGTTTCGAAATCGATTGGGTTTTTTTGGTTGGGGGGGGGGGGGAATTGTCCCACCCCCCTTATAAAACACTGGGTTGGGGCCCGTTGCCCCCTGCGGTCACTAACTTGTTTAGCCGAGCCTTCCAACAACTCAAATCTATAGGGTCTGGGAAATGCAATCCACTGGAAAATGTTTAAAATCTAATAAGGTATTTACAACACAATGTTTAGCATTAAAAATAAAAGATACGACATAAGATTCACAAAGCAAACTTCAGTTAGTAGAATATAAAACCTCCCTTCCAGATTCCATGTTTTGCTTATATTTTAGAGTTTTGCTTATATTTTAGAGAAAAGGGACTTTGACTGGGGGGGGGGGCAAAATGGTTGAGTGGGGGGCCAAACTTTTTACTTTTTGTCTACCACCTGTAAATAAGTAACACTACCAAGCATCGTGTACTTGAGATTGTAATAATTAAGATATGTTAATTAAAATATGTTTGCCAACAAAGTGAAACACCAAAAAAGTTAGTTTCGTATATTACTTATTTTTATATCCCTCCCAATTCACGATATGCTATTATTAGAAATATTAAAGTAACTCAACTATTTCGATGTAAACAGCTGGACAGAAATTTAAGATCAACCAAGATGGCGCCTAATGACACGTAGTGACGTCATGTGCAAGCAAAGAATTCCCCAGTCTATTAAGGTTGTGTGATTCTCCCACTTCCTGACTCCCTACGCTTTCCCCACTGCCTGTTTCCCAACTTCTCAAACTCCTGTTTGCCTCACTAGCTATTTGCTCCACTCCCTGTTTACCCCCACTCGCTCTCGCCAATATTTGCGGGAAAATTTAATGACAAAGAAAATGTTTTATGCGTTGCACACTTTCATGAACGCCGGTCCGGAAAATTTATGGAAATTAGCTCCCCCTCAAAAAAAACCACTGTTAATTTAAAGATACAGTAGGCAGACGCTACTTACCGATTTCGGATTTTTTTCGACATGGCAGAAAGCTCGAATACTAAAAAGCCTATAACCAGAACTATATCGGGCCTGCCTGATCTGTTCGATAGCAGATCTAGAGGTGATGGTAGTTATAATAAATATTTTACACCATTACTAAGAAGAAGTAAGTCGTTGAATTATTATGAGCCGTCAGTCGAGCAAGTCAAAACCCATGGCAAAACCAGACGGGAGAAAGGTGTAGAAATCGCAGCCTTAAAACCCAAAGATTGGAAAAAAGTCTCTGTGAAGCACAGAAAGAAGTTTGAACGGCTTTCAGAAGTCTGGGAAAATGCTGAGAGTAACACTGAATTGATAACAATAATTAACGATAACGGCGTATGTTTTAAAGACGAGTTCTCAATAGGCAGTGGCAGTTATGGTACGGAGGTGTATGTTTGCTTGGGCTCTGACGGGATGGAACGAGCGATAAAACGTTTGCCAAAAGTCCTGTGTAATTTGTTGAAAAATGAACGAGATATCTTGACCTCTTCGAATGCAGTCGAGTCGCCACGGGTTGTTTATTATTGTTTCTACGATGATACTTCCAGCCCTGACTTTGGTTATTTGATTTTGAATTTGTATGAAAAAAATCTTGAGGAATTCGTCAAGGAGGAAGGCGAAACGATAACAGAATCCCGTGCTAGAAAGATGATCCGTCAAGTGTTGGAAGGGCTGAAAGCATTACATGCTAGAGAGCCTAGAATTTTACACAGAGATTTGAAGCCGACCAATATACTTGTTGATGTGAATGGTGATTTAGTGCTGTCTGATTTTGGTATTGGACGGTTTTTCTCGGAACAAGGTATTTTCACAAGATATGTATATATTTAACAAAATTGCAGATGCACACATCCGGAGCAGACATTTCAACTCACGACACGAGGCATTCAGTGTTAAGCCAAGGAATATATATTTTCGCCCTCCCGCTGTCAAGCGAAATTCACGACCTATGCAAAATATCTGTGATATGACAACGCATGACGTGTTCTGACGGATAATTTATTTCACAGGTGTAGGCGCAAAATACATGAATTACCCACTTGTGCTCTTGCTTCCAGTGTCTGCCACTGCATGAACGCATGAAGAGACCTGCATGAAGTTTGGTTAACTCATTAACTGGCAAAACTCTCCCATTGACAAGTAAATTAGCTAAGGCATACTGTAAGAGAAAATGAAATACTAATGGAGGGAGAACTGCTGATCAATGAGTCAATTTTACTTCTTTACAGGTGCAACTACATACTGTACCAATGGCGAACGTGGATCAAAAGGCTGGCTTGCATATGAATGTATTGACTGGGATGGTTTATGCTCTGATGAGGTGCGGAACCCTTCAGATGGAATACAACTCAAGTGGAAAGAGAAATCAGATATCCAAGTGGCAGGTATGTTAGCATTTTACATCTTCACCAAAGGAAAGCATCCATTTGGTCCTCAATTACATCGAATGATAAATCTACATGATGGCAACCCAGTGGGTTTAAGCAAGCTCAGTGATCCTGTGGTGAAAGACCTCCTTTCTCAGATGTTGGCTCAGGAGATAGATGAACGACCATATGCAGAACAAGCCTTAAAGCATCCTTACTTTCTCTCATCCGAAGAGCAGATGAAGTTCTTAGAAGCTGTGGGCAACGAACCTGAAATAAAGAGTTTCAAGGGCGATCCCAACTGTGCTGTTTCCGGAGAGCTAGACAACCGTGATCTGTCAAAACCTCGAAGCTCATTGTTACCAAATGACTGGAAAGCAGTCATCGATCCAGATGACCTCGACACATTTTGTGCAGGAGGTCATACCCCCCCGTCCAGTTTTGATGGCAGCCGTTACACGCATTGTCTTCGATTCATAAGAAATGTCCGTCAGCATTGGGGCGACAAACGGCCACCTCCACAATTGAAAGCTATGGGAAAGGCTACTTCTCTTGACGAATATTTCCTGCAATTATTTCCAACCCTCCCGCTTGTTGTGCATCAAATCATCAGAAAGCATCCTGACTGGAAAACACGCCCTTCCTTGAAGGAGTTTTTCCCCGTGATAAACCGTCGCGCAGGGCCTGATTCAGACTGAAGCCCACACATTATGTCAGGTTAGTATATCTGCCTCTGGTTTTAAGTATTGTATAGTAATTATCTATTACCATTCTGTTTTCCTCTTAGTTCAGTATTGCAACATTTTTCATTGAGAACTTAATCGTAGGTGGGGCTGTAGGCCGATATCTAATGTTACTAGTAATTGGACAGGTGACTACCGCTATCGCCACCTAAGGCAGGATTAATACGTGTTTGATTGGTTAATCGGGTAGATTAAATGCATGTGATTGGTCACTGGTAACGGTGGTCAAAATCTGAACCTCTCTAATAGTGAGCAAAGATGAATCCAATATGTGTTTTACTGATATCAAACAAATAATCTAAAACAAACAAAAACCTTTGGAAGCTACAATGAATGCAATTAACAATCTGACAAGGATCCAACACGTAGGATAACAAATGTCCAAGAATTTAACAAATTTGCATAAATAACAAATTGATGGTCAGTTATATGTGTGACGGTATTTTCCATACACGGAAAACACGCGCGCACAGCATGGCTTGCGTTGCTGCAGTGTGACCTTTACGTGGGGATTAATTTGCGTGTGCTTGGAGACATCCACCCGGCATTCCCACTGAGAAAATGGGAAACTAATCTATATTTTTTTACTTAGGTAGACGTCCTGGTAAATATTTTGCAGTTCTTTAAGAAGTACTAGATTTTTTTGCTGAAAGATGGGACGCACTAGTTTCTGTTGAGTTTCGATATTTTCCAGTGGCCAACAATAAAATAATGTAGTTTGAAAATTACAGAACTAGACTGATACAATGTAAGAATTATTATAACTATTGCGTTCTTTTCTTAAATTCATAAGGAAATGAAAAGTATAATTTAATTTAACCCGAGTTAGCATTGTATTCGCAATAATATGAATTAGTATTTTTGCATAAGTGAATACAGCTAATTGTTTACCATGTCTCTAAGAAATGGGCTCCATATATGCTTTCTGAACTGCTGAAATCGTGCTCCCATTATGCTTTGCGCGCTTAGAATTTAAGGTTTAGAGTTAAGGTTTGCAAAGGACAACCTTTTTGTTGCAAGCCATTATATGGCTTGCAACTATCATATACTTAAAATCTGTCCTGTCCAATTGTCCTGTCCTGTCCACTTTTACCACAGGCGGCCCAATCTCAGAATGAATGATCCGGTGTTGCGGGTTTTTAACGGTTTTTATAAACAAATTTATAGTCAACCAAAACTATTCTAAAAACATTCTTAAATTAGTCAAATAAATACATTTTAACGATAAAATATAGTTGACATGATAGTATAATACCTTTGCATTCTTTTAATTACTCCATGAGCTCATTTAGAGCGGTTGATGTAACATTTTCTGTGGCCTACATTGTGTGTGCTCATCTATATATAATATAACAGTAAAAGGCTAATCACTGGCGGCACGACCGCATCGCCTTCAAAGTCAAATATCTCCGCTCAAACTTCTCGTACGCCAAAACAAATTCGATTACATCTTTTCACAAAGATTTCTCTTTCTAAATAATATGGTTTGATCGTAGCTGGGGCAAATTTAGCGACGAACGGAACCAAAATCTCCTCAATTTCGGATACTGTTCAAAATACTTAGGGCTGCTCGGGCACGATCGTGGACGTGACGTAATCAATACATACTGACAATAACGCCTTACGTGGGGTGGGACAGCATAAAGCGACAAACTAAGCCCTAAGGCTAAGTATTTTGAACAGTATCCGAAATTGAGGAGATTTTGGTTCCGTTCGTCGCTAAATTTGCCCAAGCTACGATCAAACCATATTATTTAGAAAGAGAAATCTTTGTGAAAAGATGTAATCGAATTTGTTTTGGCGTACGACAAATAGGAGCGGAGATATTTGACTTTGAAGGCGATGCGGTCGTGGCGCCAGTGATTAGCCTTTTACTGGTATATTATATATAGATGAGCACACACAATGTAGGCCACAGAAAATGTTACATCAACCGCTCTAAATGAGCTCATGGAGTAATTAAAAGAATGCAAAGGTATTATACTATCATGTCAACTATATTTTATTGTTAAAATGTATTTATTTGACCAATTTGAGATTGTTTTTAGAATAGTTTTGGTTGACTATTTAAAATTTGTTTATAAAAACCGTTAAAAACCCGCAACACCTGATCATTCATTCTGAGATTGGGCCGCCTGTGATACACTCAGAGTAACATCACACAAGCATAATGACCATATGTTGCGCAAAAGCAGCGCATGCAATGCACACCTCGCAGCGGCACTCAATTTTCGCATCACGTATGGTTCACTGCCTATTAACTTTAGTTAATATATAACCTCATAAGATGAGCGCGCGCGGTGCGTATTTTGGTAAAATGAAATATTCTCATTTGATATGTAACCTTATTACCTTTCAAACTGCAAATTGGCAATCACCTCTATCCCCCAAGTGATATCTTTCGTAAAATTTCAGTTTTCTTAAAATATCTTTGTATAGATTTCAAGCCTGGATGCCAAAGGTAGGACAAATAAACAACGACGCCTTACTTGTGATAAAATGTGTGCACGAAATGCAAGAAGAAAGTGTTTATACGAAATTAATTGCCTCCTACCAGCGTGAGGATGATGGTGAAGAAGTTTGCTTAAGCAATTTAAATATTGCACCAGTGGAAGCTACTGCTTTGTTTGAATTTCTAAGTTACGTAAACAACTTGCACAAGCTTAATATGACTAATTGTGTCATGGAGCATTTGGTTTTCCGTGAATTCACCAAGTTGCTGATGAAAGATAATGAAAACTGCAAACTTACTGAATTAGACATAAGCCTAACTAAATTGACAGATGAAAATGCTGAATGTTTAAGTAATGCTTTGACGAGTGACAACTGCAAACTTACTGAATTAGACATAAGCCGCAATAATTTAACACGTGAAGGTGCTAAATGTTTAAGTGATGCTCTGATGAGCGACAAGTGCCAACTTACTAAATTGGGCATAGGCCACAATAAGTTAACACATAAAAGTGCTAAACATTTAAGTGATGCTCTGATGAGTGACAAGTGCAAACTTACTAAATTGGGCATAGGTCACAATAAGTTAACACATAAAGGTGCTAAACATTTAAGTGATGCTCTGATGAGTGACAAGTGCAAACTTACTAAATTGGACATAAGCTACAATAATTTAACACATGAAGGTGCTAAACATTTAAGTGATGCTCTGATGAATGACAACTGCAAACTTACTAAATTAGACATAAGTGGCAATTATTTAAGACATGAAGGTGCAAAACATTTAAGTGATGCTCTGATGAGTGACAAGTGCAAACTTACTGAATTAAATATAGGTGGCAATTATTTAACACTTGAAAATACAAAACATTTAAGTGATGCTCTGATGAGTGACAACTGCAAACTTACTGAATTAAACATAAGCAGCAATAATTTAACACATGAAGGTGCTAAACATTTAAGTGATGCTCTGATGAGTGACAACTGCAAACTTACTGAATTAAACATAAGCGACAATATTTTAACAAATGAATTAGCTGCTAAACATTTAAGTGATGCTCTGATGAGTGATAAGTGCAAACTTACTCGATTAGACATAAGCTACAATAATTTAACACATGAAGGTGCTAAACATTTAAGTGATGCTCTGATGATAAATATAGGTGGCAATTATTTAATATATGAAAATACAAAACATTTAAGTGATGCTCTGAGTGACAACTGCAAACTTACTGAATTAAACATAAGCAACAATAATTTAACAAATGAAGGTGCTAAACATTTAAGTGATGCTCTGATGAGTGACAAGTGCAAACTTACTAAATTAGACATAAGCCACAATAAGTTAACACATGAAGGTGCTAAATATTTAAGCGATGCTCTGATGAGTGACAAGTGCAAACTTACTAAATTAGACATAAGCCGCAATAATTTAACACATGAAGGTGCAAAACATTTAAGTGATGCTCTGATGATAAATATAGGTGGCAATTATTTAGTATATGAAAATACAAAACATTTAAGTAATGCTCTGATGAGTGACAACTGCAAACTTACTGAATTAAACATAAGCAACAATAATTTAACACATGAAGGTGCTAAACATTTAAGTGATGCTCTGATGAGTGACAAGTGCAAACTTACTAAATTAGACATAAGCTACAATAATTTAACAAATGAAGGTGCTAAACATTTAAGCGATGCTCTGATGAGTGACAAGTGCAAACTTACTAAATTAGACATAAGCCACAATAATTTAACACATGAAGGTGCTAAATGTTTAAGTGATGCTCTGACGAGTGACACGTGCAAACTTACTGAATTAGGGCATACTTCGAAACCCGGACCGGACTCGGACCCCGACTCGGGCAGGGACTCGAAATAGAAAAAAAAACGGATTCGAAACAAAGACTCTGTGTGCGAGAATGGAAAGGTTTTTTGCAAAGGATTAACAATAGTTATTAACATGATAAACGTGTTAAATAAAAGAATAATCACTTATAGGTATACTGGAACCAATTGGATATAACATGCAATAATTTAACACATGAAGGTGCTAAACATTTAAGTGATGCTCTGATGAGTGACAAGTGCAAACTTGCTGAATTAGATATAACATGCAATAATTTAACAGGTGAAGGTGCTAAACGTTTACGTGATGCCATGCATGAACAGTCACAACTGCAATCTTACGAAATTACACGCGTATAGGGACTAAATACTGCTCTGAAGAGTGACAACTGTGAACTTACCGAATTAAGAACGAGGAACTGGAATATGAACTAAAAACATGACTGTATTTAGAGTTGTATAGCAGAAATTAATTTGAGTTATATTGATTGTTTATAAAACGTAGGAAAATAGAAATTGAAAAACATCGTTGTATTTAGTGTTGCATAGTAGAGATTTGTAACGTACTGTTGGATTACTATAAAATAGATTTGAGCAAATGAGATGTTGGATTATATGACACTTAACCATGGTTGTATTTAGAGTTGCATAGTAGAGGTTTGAGCAAATGAAATGTTGGATTATATGTCATTGAAACATGGTTGTATTTAGTGTTGCATAGTAGAGGTTTGAGTAAAAGAAATGTTGGATTATATGACATTGAAACATGGTTGTATTTAGTGTTGCATAGTAGAGGTTTGAGTAAAAGAAATGTTGGATTATATATGACATTGAAACATGGGTGTATTTAGTGTTGCATAGTAGAGGTTTGAGTAAAAGAAATGTTGGATTATATGACAATGAAACATGGTTGTATTTAGAGTTGCAGTTAATAAGCCTGGTTTCCATATGGTTGCAACTGACAATGTCGCAAGTTAATTTCGTACCCTGCAGGGATCGTTCAAGCAGCTGGCGGCAGTTTTAAAAGACAAACACGGTCCCCCCAAACGGGACAACCCCCCCCCCCTGATTGTCGCAAAACTGTTGCCACGCTGTCGTTTTCCTGTTTCCATTGGGGAGCTTAAGCATGTAGGACGGCAACACGACGACGACGGCAACTAATACAAAGATTCAATGAAAAGAAATAAATAATTAAAGTCCCAGGGGAGTTTCAGACGTAGTCGTCGCTCTGTATATACAACAGCAAATCACAGGTTTTCACGTGTTTTATGAAACGCCTGCATTTCAAGCCGTAACAAGTGTAACTTAAAATTCGGTCCAGTAGAACTCTTTCCAAACATAAAGCCAATGTTTTCAACTTCTTATACTGTATTAAATTCATACGAATTATTATATACGACAAGTTTTCTTTACTATCATTTATTTGAAGGATTTGTTTTGGCCGTCGTCGTCGTGTTGCCGTCCTACATGCTTAAGCTCCCTAATAAAACATAACCGTCACGACACGCTTTTAGCCTGTCGCAACTGTCGTCGAGATCGAACTCGAGTCTATCTCGACGACACTGTTGTCTGTTGTGAACTATACATGTTGCCAGCGTGTCGCGACAAGATTTTTCTTCATGTTTCCATTTGGTCGCGAACACTACTCTGACGACACTTACACAACACGTGGATATCTGGCTTTATAGACGTAGGAAAATATGAACTTGAAACATTGTTGTATTTAGAGCTGTAAGTTAGGAGTTTGAGTCAGGGGCGTAGGAAACTCATTGTGGGGCCGGGCGACCGAAGTGCCAAAGAAATCACCCAACTAGCGGGTTTTATATAAGGTTTTGCTCTCCCGGGCCTGTCCATGGAGGAAACTTTGAAATCTAGACCCTCTGCAATGGCATTTTCATGCAGCCATTTTTGCGTGCTGTTTAGCGAAGCGGCAGACGGACAAAAAACTATAATACTGGATTGCACTTAATTTTGCAATTTTACAACATTCTTTACTCCAAAATGCAACAGAAAACGTAATTGCATTTCAGTATTGAATAGCATGATGTTATAATGAAGTGACTATCGACTGTTTCAAATACTTCAAATATATACTAACGGTAAATTCAAACACTTTTTGGCAGCCAAACCTATTCCTCCCCCCCCCCAAACAACACCCCCCCCCCCCCCCCAACAAGGGACGGGGCTAGGTCACCATCCCCGCGATAAATCCAAACATTTCAGTTTTAGCAGGCAAAAATCTATTACATCCCCCCAGCCCCAATGTGTTTAACAAGGGGCGTGGTTATCCACAATCCCCGCGCTTCCTATGCGCCTGGTTTGAGTGAAACGATTAAAAGGAAATACAGTATGAACTGAAAACATGGTTCTATTTAGAGTTGTAAGTTAGAAGTTTGAGTTCTTGGATCCTGTAGGAAAATTTTTTTTCCCAAGAAACTACAATTGAAAATAAACTAGGGATCCAAGGATAGTGTGAAGTTTCAAATTTAAAAAGACACTGCAAGAACTATATAGGGTCGCCGACAACCTAGAAAAGCTTGATGGCTTACACTACGAAATAAACTGTTACCAAAGGCATTTCATCTCATTATTTATTGCTTTTAATACGCTCGGCATACGAGTAGCGTGACGTTTGAAACAAACACATCAGAACGTGCCTTGTGAAACTGATGCAATTCATCTATTTATTGTGTCACCAACAATCAAATTTTGCATATTCTAAATTTTCATTTGCATTTGCAGCTGTCGCTGAAAGCATCCCCACGAGGCTACTGCTATGCTAAATTTATCTAATAAACTATAATTGAAATAGATGTATAAGATATGTTATGAATAATAAGCACTACGTTGTTACATCATTAAAAGACGCATTTTATCCTCATCCGTTCCGTTTGTTATCCGCATATCCGTTCCGTGGATCCGCTCCATCCGCCTCCGCATTTTAACTTAATTGTGACATGTTTCGCAATAACAAGTTTCATTGACCTTTGACTTTTCACAGTGTGACGTGTGTCTATTTTCAGCTTTTCGCATGTGTTGAATATAAATATCACTTTAGATTTCAATAGTTTCACAGTTATAGCAGTGTTTTTAAAACATTTTTGACAAGCTTTGATACAGTTCTGTGTACAGAATACTACAGATTGATTCTCGTAAGATCTGGTAGAGTTATCGTTGCACTGAATACGAGTTTGCACCGTTGACAACGGCGTTGTGCTAGACACTAGACAGTAAACAAAGACAAGGTCCGTGAATGTACACGTTGGCTACATGTACCTCCTTGCTTTTTTCTTCTATTGCATAAAGCTTGTTGGCGAGCCAGTTAAGCGATTAGCGATAACACGTTGGCGTAACACCTAAACACGTTGGCTATCTCCTCGTCTTTCTTATTTATACAACAAGCTCTGACTCAACTGATTCCTTTAGTCTCGTAAGTTTTTTTCTTCGTAAACGCCGTACAAACGTTTACCCGCTTCTGTTTAATAGTTGTTTATGCTTTATTGATCTGATACAAATCTGATGCAATTTTTCGCTCTTTGTACTGCATGAGTATAGCCATCTATTCTGTGATGTAGCACCTTATACAGTCAATGAGAATGTATAATGAATACACGGTCTAAATAATATCGACGGTAATGCATAACATCAATTTATATATTGTATTACTATTATTGCGTAGAATCTCAAAGATTTTCTCAATATTCATGTCTGAAATCTTTATATACTTGAAAACAACACTGTCTCGCTTCTGCCTACGTACTGTACCTCTGTATAATGAGAATACCGTGAAAATAATATCGGCACAAATGAATGCCTAGAATCAAGATATTCGACTCAATATTTACGTCTGAAATGTTTACACACTTGACTGCACTGTCTAGGCGGTCTAGCTCCTTCCTAGCTCTGTATAATGAATATACCGTCTAAATATTATCGGCACTTAATTGAACGCCCGTAATGCATAAGATCAATTTATATATTGCGTAGATTTTCAAAGATTTACTCAATATTCACGTCTGAAATCTTTATACATCTGAAAACAACACTGTCACCCCTTCCTAGCATATCGTCACGCCATCGTGATCTACGGCTTGATAGCGCATGCGCATTTGCGCTACTAAAGAAAAAATCGGGTGTTCCGGGGTAAAGATCCTTTACACAACATGAGAAGCGAATGTTCTAAAATTTACAAAAAAATGCAATAACGAAAGCGATTCCTCGAAATTTTTGTGAACTTGGCAAAAGGATAACAGAATATGTAAATAAGTTAACTGAAATTGCCTAAATAACCTTCAAAGTACTGACTAAGTACAATAAATCACTGCGAACATAAATCGTATACACCCCCGGAAAGTTTACTCTATGACTGTTTGACTGATTCGTGTGAATTCGCCAGCCATCACAATAGTGTGAAGTGAAACTTCACACTAATAATTGTTCAATATTTTCAGATAACTAATGTAAATATGAAATGGCATAAATACTTCAATAGTTTTTCTATTCCTAATGCAGAGCCTGAAATATAGAAGTTAAGCCATTCACTTGACAAATTCCAAATCTAAACTACTAAATCTATTTTGTACTAGGCTGAAGAGTGAATTTGTGAATTGAGTCGATACAATTATTTCTCTTTGAGTTACGGAGTTTTTAAAGATATTATCGCTGACGTCAGCATTATTTTCAAAGGGTGTTAAAACTATGTTGTACATTTGTCAAACAATTTAATTTTAAAATGCCAACTTGCAATTGGTTCGGATAATACAGAAGTGATCGGAAATCGAAATATTTTGGTGAAAATTCATGTATATTTTCAGTACGTACTTTTTTCTGCCTTGTCCAGAATTGCGTCCAAATATCTGACCAAATTTGAAAGTTTCCAATAAATTTACAATTGGTCGGGCTTTTCCGGACAATTTCGACCGTTATTTCAGGCTCTGCAACACAATCTTTCACAAAGCTGATGCATATTTTCATTGATAGTTATTGATCTTTTTTAGTATATAAGTCATATGTAATATATGAAATGTTCAATTAAACTTTCTCATGAAGGCCAAAATCCGCCACTTTTGGGGTACTGTCTGCCCTCGTGAAAGATTCTAGACAATTCAAAAAACGTGAAAAGCGACTTTTTAAAGTTTTAACTGTAAATTTACTACAATACAAACAACTACAATACTAAAAAGTTGTATTTCGTGGTGCAGAGACTCTCAAACGTGGGAGAGGCAAGTACCCCCCAAAATGGCGGAAAAATCGGCCGTGCGAAAGGCTAATTGGTTATGAACTTTGAATTATGTTATATCTTACTTGTATTTAAATTTGCGCAATATTGGAATTCGCGCAGACCGTAATTGCGCGAAATTAAAACTCACCGAAAAATTTATCCGAGAAAAACGGTTTACCATACATTTTACATGCAGGGGCCGGTTGTGTAAAACTCTTAATCACTTTTTTGATCACTATTTTGTAGTTAAATAGTGATTAACTCTCAAATAGGCGCTTCTTATTGGATGACATTTCCACTTAACTATGATTTTAAAACTTTAATCACTTTTTTATACAACCGGCCCAGAAGACTAATCTGCGTGTAAACGTTTGCATGCCAGCATATAACACAAAATATTGAAAATCAGACAAGTAAATTATGTGTTTTTGAACGATTCAGGTGAAAATCTTAAAATATCTTGAAAATATCATTTCAACACGGAAAAACCGTCATTCGAGTGTAATTTTCTAGTTTTGGGCCGTTTCAAGTTGCGCGAAATAAAAGCTGGGCTAAAATGTCGCATTTCTCGGGTGCTCAAAGTTGTATCGGATGAGTTGAGACTGAGCGAAAATTTGTATCTCGCGAATTTATTTAAATACAAATATAATGTACCATGCGAATGTTTTACGCCGAGATCAGTTTAACTGAAAAGCCAAAAGGTCTCTAGAAAACCACAATCCAAATGGTTTATGTAAATAAAACGTTATTTTTTTATTACTATATATGTTGTAAAATTAAATTTAATATGATGTCTGATGTAAAATTCAAAGCGTTGTGTAGTGTAAGACTACACTGTTAAAGTTTCTTTGATAAAAAGTATGTGCGTTTAACACTGACTCAGTTCCCTCAAACATTTCTTACAAATCCTTCAAAACTTAGA